GCTAAAGGAAGCACACCCTGAAACTGGGTAGACAATTAAACTTGGATGAATGACTCTCCCCTTTATGCTGGGATTTCTGGGAAAGTTGACAGCCTGGGAGCCTGTCTTGGCTTTCAGCCCCATCTGTCCTGTCTTCCCACACCCCCAACACCCCTCCCTCTACTTGGTACTAGAGTTGAATGCAGCAGAGGTTCTGCCCAATGGGGACTTTGCATATTTGACACTTCCCTGAGCTCTAGCACTGATAGTTACTGACTAGCAACAAGTGGTTTCTGTTTTCTGTCGTTATTTTTAGAACCTAGATATGAAAGCAGAGGAGAAATAATAATGTAGTGTGTCAGACTTGCAGTATTTTGAAACCAGCCATTGAAGGGCTCATGCACCAAGCTCTGGTATACCTGATAATACTGGCAGGAGTTGGGAGTATATGTCTGCAATGTGGGGAGGTAACAGCAAATCTCAGGTGACAGGTCTTGCAAATAAACCAGACCTGACATCTGTAGATCACAGCCTGTACCAAAACCCAGCAGCTGCATTCCATAAGGCTCACCATGAGGCATAAGTTTGAAATTTTCAGGAGTAAGCCACCAGCCTTAGGTTCTAACAGCTGGAAATTATGGAGACTGTTCTCCTGGCTTTGCCATTGCAATGCTGTGCAGTGTGAAGGTTCTTCTGCAACTGATTTAACCTTTGTAACTCCACTTCCTTGTCTGCAAAATAGGAGAGCGGGTGATCATGTTTGCAGAAAACATCCACTGATAAGAAGAACTAAATGACAACTTAGGGGTATGGTTGTGTGCCCACACACTGAGCAAGCCTTTTCTTTTCCTTGGTTTGTAATGGCCTAATTGTCCTTTCCTTCAACAGGCATGTGGCCATTCTCTAAAGGGAACCAAGGGGGAAGGGCCATACAAGGCAGCCTCAATCACAGCTGTATTCCTGTGCTGAGTATTACCTGTTAGCTGGGTCTAGAAGAGTTTCCACAAAGCAAGTGATAGGCTCAGCAAATCACTCTTTGGATGGGTCGTACTCTCTTCATTGTCTCTAGAGAACAGCGGTTTATTCCCTCTGAATACAGTCCATAATGTCAAAGCAAAAGCCAGTGTCCTTTTTTTGCTTGTTTTGTGAAAGCTGAGTAAGAGTAATGTTTATGTGACTTTCATTTGGAACCTGAATTCCACTAGGTTCACTCAAATGTTTAATCAGCATTGCTCAAATGTTTTAACAGCTTCCTACTGAACCTCAGGACTATAATAAAACCTGAAACTGAGCAATTTATTTGCAAGCCTTTAAGACAATTCAGAAAATTATCTTCTTTTCAGAAATGCATCCTCCAGGAGTACAGAAAGCAATAACTTTCCATTTTACCCGCAAAGAAGTATTAAATTTCATTTTTAGTTAGACTTTTGCACATTCGCATCCTTCCTCTCTAGGGAATTTGTTTTACTAATAACTACAAAGCTTTCCAAGCTCCCAGAAAGAAGCCAGAAAGGACTGTAACAAGCAGAAGTTTCCATAGGACATCAGGATTGTGCATCTAACGCAGACACAGTCCATCTGTAGCTCAAACATTGTACCAAAGCCTCCCACTCCAGCAGTGCAGCCTGCCAGTGCAGAGGCCCTGGGGAGTTAGGTGGGTGCCCTGGTCCCCTTCCAACAATGCAGCATCCACCAGATGAATCTGAGCAGAACTCACTTTCCCCCTCCTCAGTTCTGCCACCATTTTTGAGTCTTACCTGCAAGAACCTCTGCCCTAACCTTTGCTGGGCTGGCAAATACCACTACCTTCTGTTTTATTGGTTATATTTTATGTAACATCCATTAATGACTAAGCACTCCATCTACAGAGTGATGTCACACCAAGACCCAGACAGGACTGAAGCTGAATTTTGGTGCCTAGTTCTGGGTCTGCAAGAGTGGGGTTCATCTCTGTTCCCTCTCCCTGCCAATTCCTTCCTAACCTTCGGGGTTTCTAACCTCCATTGGGTATTTGCACCTGTTACTAAGATGTTCTGCAGATACCTTCAAAAGTTACTTTTGTTAGCACCAAAGAGGAAAACTGTTTCGGTTACGTGACAGACTGTGTTTCGCTGGAATGGAGTTAATTTTTTTCATAGCAGCCCATACGGTGCTGCTCAGGCTCATTCTGGTGCTGCACTTGGTTTGTAGATGTCAAGGGTTTGATACTAGAGAGTGTGGTGTGGGGATGCGGGTGTGGGCTCTGAGCAGAGGCTGGGGTTACCCTATGCTGGACACAGTTGGTGCCAACCAACTCCGCAATGGACCTACAGCAGGACGCAGCTGAGCCCATCAGTCAAGCTGGTGGCACCTAAGAAAGGAAGAAAATGCCACAGAGAGGAGGAGCAAAAAAGTTAGAAACAGCCAAGGTGACATCAAGGTCAGGCAAGGGGGGGAGGATGTGCTCCATGGTGGCTTAGCAAATACCAACCACTGCAGCTCAGGGAGAACCCAAGCCAGAGCAAAGGAAAAGTGTGACAAGGAAGAAGTAGCAGAAAGGAACTCCTCCATGCCACTCAGGGTGAGGGGAAGAGTCTAGAGTGGAGAAGTTGAGCCCTCCTCTGCAGAAAAATGGTCAAATTCTTACCACCCTGCCCTGTTGGCTATATACTACTCTGGCTTTCTGCCTTGCCTGGTAAAGTTGTGATTTTTAAAAAGATTAAATGTTGGCTGGACCAGAGATGGTAGAGAATAGAAAGCAGTGCACTGAACTTGGCAGGTTGATGCTGGCTACTGTCCTGACCAAGTGTTTCATGTGGACAAGTCACTAGAAGGAAATGTATGAACATTTCCGGTGAAGCCAGTCCCACTTTTTTCTTCTCCATGACATTATCTGGGGAGCCCCAAACACCCTACCCAGCACTGTGAGGTCTCTCTGGTTCTAGTTCAGTTCCCCTTTGGATTTAGCCCTCAGGTTAAAGTCTCAAATTTGTCTTCTTGGTGATTGATCCTACTTTCAAAAACAGGTCTCTAGAAAGGTGAAACATTAGTGTGCTGTATCCTTTAAGTCTGCACATTACACAGGGGCAGTTTGGAGACTCAAGCCTCTGAGCTAAACAAATTTGTGACAAACTTTTGCAGAGACCTAAGAACGTTCTCAGAAGTTCCCTCCTGAGCCTTCTCCTGAACCCAGGACAGTCATGAAGAGTTGGACAGTAAAGCAGCTAATAACCAGAGTCCCAGCTGCTACTTAGACCCTCTTCAGATTAATTTTTGAAGTTGTCTTTTTAGAAATCATCAGTTCCTCAGATATTAACAACAGCCATAAAGTATATTAGGAAGTGCAAGTTTTCTGTTCTTTCAGCAGCAATGGCTCTCTGTACATAAAAACCTGAGAGACTGAGTGAAAACCAGTGCAAACATTACTTGGTGACTGATAGATGAGCACAAGCAGTTGGTCCATCTCTGATTTCAGCAGTAACCTATGACTAAAAACTTTGTTCTCAGGTTTTGTGTATGGCTTCAGTCCCTCTCTCTGGGAATGTGCAGTTGAGCAATGCAGCTATTTTTTTTCCAAAGACTACAGTCGTGTTTCCTACATCTTAAACTTTCCTGATGCATATGTATGTGTTCTGGGGTCATCATGCCCTTTCGTCTGACTCTGATCAAACTTGTGTTCTATTCTCTTCTAATTTGGGAGAAAACCAAAATCTCTGTGACATTAACTTGGTAAATGCTTTTTTTCCTTAAAGTTGAATTATCTTGAAAGCAGATGTAAGCTGAGGCTGAAACTTCACAGCTAAAATACTTTGTTTATATCTAGTTTGTTGGGCTGTAACTTGCTTGAAGGTAACTTTGACCCACTACATATTTAGTTGATACTCACAGAGTTAGAATTACAGCTGTCTACTGGAAACACAGATCTGATTCATATGCTAGTAATATTTATCTTTCGTCTTCTCCATCTCTTGCTTGGTTGAGAACTTCTATTACTGGTCTGCATGTATCAGTTGATGGAAAATTTCTTTGGCATATCCACATGAAGCTTGTGGATGACGTTTAGTGCTCCTCAGGCTGTAACAGTAATTATGGTGGTAAGGCACTGGAACAGGTTGCCCAAAGAAGTGGTAAATGCTCCATCTCTGGCAGTGTTCAAGGCCAGGCTCGACAAAGCCTTGGGTGACATGGTCTAGGGTGAGGCATCCCTGTCCATGGCAGGAGGTTGGAACTAGATGATCTTAATGTCCTTTCCAACCCTAACATTCCTGTGATTCTATGGCTCTGTGCATCAAATGGCAGAGTGAAGCCTTTAGAAATCAGAATTTCCTTTAAAATCTGAAGCCTGTGACAATACTGTCCACATTCTAATGAACCCTAATTATGTATGTATACATAAACTTTTCCCTAATTTTATTTCCATGTTAAAAACATCATTTGTATTAAATCTTGTTCTGATTTAAGCAGGAGCTCTTAAATTCAACTTTAAGGTGTCAGTGATTTAATTCCCACCACACAAGGAAATGCTTTTACCCCTAAGTACAGATGGGAAACCTGTGGTGAAGAACTCTGATACGGCTGCCAATAGGGAGGATTTGGTAGATAACAGGCAGAGGAAGGCCACATGGGCGTATGGCTGTGCTGGAGTCCTATCTACCCAAGCAGAGCTAAAGGGTTTTGAATTGAGATTCGGGGAATTGTTGGTTCTCATACTGCTTGCAACAAAGGAAACCATGGGCCCTTACTCTCTGCTCTTCAGTGCCACCTTGTAAATACAGCTTGAGGACCTGGATTGAGAAGAGTTAGGATGATTTAAATTCATTATAAATAATGAATTAAATAAATAGGCACAGTGGCTATCTCACTGAATTACAATGAACTATGTGTAAACAAAGCAAGCACTAGGAGAAAAGAAGCCTTTGCGTTTTCATTGAGCTCCAGTGTTTCATTTTATCTCATAATAACTTTCCCTATTTTATTTTCTTTGTATTGAGCCTAAGATCAAAGCAAAAACTTTGTTAAAAAGCAATCAATTCTAATCACTTGTCACTGCCCCTGTTCAGTCTCTGGGCAGTACAGGGCCTACCTCACAGCGCTGCAGGTATCTGCATGCTTTTCCCACTCTGGGAGTGCAAGCAGCTTTAGTCTATTCAGCTCACACAAGAAAGGCCTGAATAATTACACCTTAGAGACTTTCCTGGAGCTGAGGGTAAACAGCAGGCAAGAGGAATTTTATTCACTTCTAATCTAAGCAGAACTTACACTGCTCTTGGTAACCAGTGTGGAACATTTCAGTTTATTTATTTATTTATTTTTACTTATCACTGCCCAGTCCAAAACCAGGCAGTAAGTTGGTGCATGTGCTCAGGTCATTTACTTCCTGGGGCTTTCACATACCAAGACCACATTTCTGGAATTCCTCCTATTCTTTAAAACATAAAGCTCCAGTTATCTCCAAGCTTCTGGTTTAACTATGTTCCAGGCACCAAACTTCACCTTTGTGCAGACCAGTTAGGACAAGATATTGCTCCTCCAGCAGAGGCTGCTGGTAGCAAGGTAGATCACAGTTCAACAGCTTAATTAACTTAATTCAAATTGTGCAGCTGATCTGTAATACCAGGCAAGAAGGCAATTGCTGGCACTTGCATTAGCATTAGCTTCAAGATGGGAAATAGCCTTTGCTGACCGGTTCTGGCTCTTCTCTCCCAACGCCTATTTTTGATATGCACAAAGCTACAAAGAGGAACAGGGTAGAAAAAGAAGGAAGAGCAAAATAAATGCACAGCAAAGGCTGAAGCATCAGAAAACCAACACTTGCTCTAGCTACAATTCAACAGTCATGCAGGACACCCTGGCAGCACTGCAAAGAGGTGTACTCTTTGCCATATCCAATGCAAATATTGCACCAGTGTATACATTCTGGTTACATAGGTTAAAAAAACACGAAAAATTAGCATTTTTATTGCATGGCCTCAGAATTCCCTACAGAAAAGCATCCTCAAGACTTCTTCAGGTCTCAAATCAGATTGACCTCAGCTATGAGTTAAAAGACCAGAAGAAAACTTCTATTTTAGCCTCTTTTAAATTAGAACATTATTTATCAGGCTTCAGATACCTTTTGTTAAAAGGCTCTATTTTAATAGTTTTTAAGTGACAGAATCCCACAGAAACCTGGTAGAAAATGTCCTTATTATGTATTCTCACATGGTCTTGCTGGAACACTTGAGAATGATTATAATGATCTATGGAACTTGTACTCAAAGGCAATAAATGATTTTGGTTCTTGAGCAGTAAGCGGCCAAAACTGCAGCGTCAGAGAAGTATTTTAAATGCTGTCAGTGGGAGTTTTAAATCCACTCAGGCCTTTGTTAGTGTTTGCATATTTTGTAAGACATTCAGATGTTACTGCAGGGATGAGCAGCACCATAAAACCACAAAGCAGAGTGGCAGTAGTAGCTACCACTGTAACAGCTGTAGTTAGGTCAAGGACAGGCTAAGTCCATTTGTCAGAAGTAAACTGTTAAGAGTTTACACTCACCTAGACTTATCTGATCTAATAATCTCTCTGTGGTGAGCTGCCAAGAGGGTTACCTCTCAGAAAGTGAATGTTAATGCAGTCTGCAGATTGCTTTGGCAGTGAGGTAGAAGTCCCATCTGCTTCTGTTACCAGCAGGAATTTCAGAAAAGCTTATCATGACCTGTGTATGTTTCCATCACACAGATCATAGACCCACACAAGAAGCAAGGGCCTTGTAAAGTGAGATTTTTGTTCATTACATAGAGTTCCTCTTTCAAAAAAGTATATAAATAACCCACAAAATTCAATCCCATTGAAGGTATAGGTTGTATAGATCCTATTCCTACCTCTTGGTCTTAATCCTATGGACTTCAAAACACTTCTTAGTTAAGAGCTATTCCTTACTCCCCAGGTGAATTGGGGGTAACCAAGTTTTAAGAGTTGCCTAATGACATATTTAACTGTGAGGCTGGAACCCTTCCATCTCTTGGGTGATAAAACTGCCTAAAATGCATACTGACCCAAGATACAGTCTCTTAAGTAAACGAAAGGCAGCTTAGAAATTTTCTCACTGGATATTTGCCACTGAGACTAGAATAACTCACAGGGGTCTTGTGGGGAACAGAGCAATGGCACAGAAGATTTGACAACATAACTGAATGCAAGAAAATAAAATGTCTTTAGTAAAGGGCCTGATCCAGCTATACTTAGTGAAGGAAGGGGTTTTACCAATGGTTTTGAAAGAAAATTGAATTGAGCTTGGGTAAGATTTGACAAGTTGCTGATGGAATGTGATCAGGAGCAGTCAGCATGGCTTCACCAAGAGAAGTCATGCTTGAGCAACCTGATAACCCTCTATGATTAAATGACTGTCTTGGTAGATGATTGTTGAGGCAGTGATATTGTCTACTTTGACTTCAGTTGTTGGCACTGTCTCCCAGAAGATCCACATAGAAAAGCTGATGAAGTATGGGCTGAATAAGTAAACAGTGAAGTGGGCTGGAAATCAGCTAAATGGCTAGGCCCAGAGTGTCGTCATCTGTGGAACAAAGTCATAGTGAGTAATGAACAGCAAGATGGGAAGGTAGGATGCCACTGCTCTGTCGTCAGTGCTGCCATTTGCTCCCCCTGTGACAATTCTGTTACTGAAATTTTCACACTTATTCATCACCTTAATGCCAAAGACTCAGAAATGATGGACTAAGTTCCCAGTATGGTTGGTACTCTGCAATTTACTCATTACTGGTAAACCACCAGTAATTAGTTTTTTATGCGAGGGGCCACTATTGTGTCCAATCCCATTTAACTCTTCATTAATGATCTGGCTGATGGGGCAGAATATACCCTCAGCAAAACTGGGAAGAGTGGCCGATATGCTGTCATTCAGAGGGACCCTGACAGGTTGGAGAAATAGGCTCATAGGAACCTCAAGTTCAATAAGAGGAAGTGCAAAGTTCCAAGGCACTAGCTGGGGGGACACCTAGCTGAAGAGCAGCTTGGAAAAAAAGCATTTGGGGGTCCTGGTAGACACCAAGTTGAACAGGAGCCAGCAAAGAAGAGTGAATGGTAGGTATCCTGTGCTGCATTAGACAAAGCATTGCCATCAGGTCCTGGGACGTGACCCTTACCCTCTACTCAGTACTGATAAAGCCACACCTGGAGTGCTGTGTCCAGATCTGGGCTCCCCAGTACAAGAGAGATATGGAAACACTGGAGAGTCCAGCAATGGGCATTAGGTTGATTAATAGATTGGAGCGCATCTCCTACAAGGAAAGACTGAGAGAGCTGGGACTATTCAGTCTGGAGAAGAAAAGGCTTAGGAGGAGCAGGTCTTATCAGTGTATGTAGATACCTAAAGAGAACGGAGCCAGGCTCTTTTCAGTGGTGTCTAGTGACAGGACCAGAGGCAATGGGCACAAACCAAAACACAGGAGGTTCTCCCTGAACATCAGGAAACACTTTTTTGATGGTGATGGTGACCAGAGAGGTCATGGAATCTCCATCCTTGGACACACCCCAAAACCATCTAGACATGTTCCTGGACAACTGGCTCTAGGTGGCCCTGCTTGGTCAGTGGGTTGGATCAGATGACTTCCAGAAGTCTTTTCGACCTCAATCATTCTGTGATTGTGTGATCTTTGCCTGTAACAGACTGTGAAGGCAGAGGATGAACTTATCATATGATTCAAATTTAATATTGAACATTTTTGCTTTAGGTAACTTAATATATCAGAGCAATTTCTTGGTGTAGATCTTTTCCCAGACCAAATACTTTGAGCAGGAGAGTATTAAAGGAAAAAATTACCTGAGACCTTTTTGACTGAAGGAAGCACCCACAGGAAGAAGAACACCTAAAAATAGATACGTCAGACTACTATGAGCTTTTCTGTGTGCCAGATGACTTGTTACCTAATCATGCTCATCCTTCGCCACCCACGACTTCCTCTGGACACACACCTAGGTTTGGGCACCGTAAGAACAGCACTGGGGATCCTGCATCCTTCTTCTTCAGAAGTAAGAAGTATGAAGCAATTCAGGAAAAGGTGAATCTCATACAGCTGATAACTGGGCAGGCCCAGGTACACCAGGGTACTGTGAGACAGTCTGACATTGGACAGAGCTGTACACAGGCACTAAGCAGTTATTAACACTATTAAAGATCTCATGACATGGCAGTTAGTTCTCTTCAAGGTACACTCTGCATAATCATATTTTTCATTGCAAAGCTGTGTAGAGCTTTAGTACAAGAGTAATCAATCACTACTGTGTTTTCTGATATTTGCTAATGATCAGCTGTGACATGCTATTTTCTATGAAAGCAGCATCTGTCTGCATCATTTCTACTATAGACTGATACTGAATAACCTGGCAAATATATAATTAACCTGTTCATTTGACTTTAGTTTGTCTAAATGCTTCAATCTAGGCTGTGAATTATTTTACTTAGAGAACATTCATCGCTTCTGAAATAGAGAGCCCTACTTGCTTCCTTTTTAAATGCCTCCACTATAAGACAATTGCAAACACTAAAGCCAAACCAGAACACATTGTGGGAATCGTCAGATGAATACCATTATTTTAAATTTACTTTCAGGTAATTTTCCTAACAATATCAGGGATATATTTCCTGTATTTGATAATGCACATCTTGCTGATAAGCCAGGTACTAATTAACATACCCTGCATTTAAGATTCCCTAGTGTTCAATCAAAGAACAAAGGTCTTGGGAATGATTAGCAATCAAAGCTAAAGATAACCGTTGACTTCAGATCAATCTGATCTTTACCAGAATGCATTTGGCTACAAAGACATGAAGTAACCCCTGTAATCCGTTAAGTTGAGGTTACTCCAATCATAAAGAGGCCATAAAAATAGCACTCGAAATTTAAGAGGTTTACGGTGGTCAGTGCCCTAGACTAGTTGTTCTGAAGAAACATCAAAGGAAAGCATTCATTACACAGAAAGCCTGTTTCGGTTTGGGCAGCCATTGAACACATATAACATAGCTTTCAAGCTGGGGAAAAATGCACTCCTTTTTCCTGTCCTGTACACAGCTGCTTAACTCTCAGTCCTATCTTTCGCTCGGCCCCCCCCCCCCCCCATCTTCAATAAATACAAGAGATCTTCTCTTATGTAACATTTAGGTGGCTTACTTTCTTTGCAGTGTGTTGTTGCACTCACTGTAAGTATGCTCAACTTTTTGCTTTTTCACCTTAATGTTCCACTTTAACTATGCTGAATCCTAAAACATATTCTATTCTGGGAGCATCCTAGCTTTTGGCATGCTTATATATCAAGTCCTCAGCAACCTGAAAGTAGAGTGATGGTTAGTGTCCAAGGCTGTAAATCAGCTTAGCTTGGTTGCTGATAGATATGACAGAAATACGTGTCTGCAACTAGTAATTTTCCCTTGCTGGGACATTTTTAGAGCCAAAAAGGGAAGATTTTAACATGTCCAATTGAAAATCTCTCTCAGACACGTTGTCTACATCATCTTAACATACTGTTCTGAGGCTGTTAGTGTAGAAAGAGCAGGAACAGCAATTTAAACCTTATTAAAATCGAGCAAATTGGATTGTGGCAGCTAAGTTCAAGTGAAACTTGTATATTAAGAGCTTACAACTCTTTGGCTGGCAGAAAAACTCTTACAAGTCAAAGGAGACTTCTTGATGGTGATGACTCCTACTATTCCATTGGCTGCATGCGTTTAGGTGAAGAATCACAGAGGTACTGAAATGAATAGTGAGTGATGGGAAGCAGGATCCCACTGCTCTATTGTCAGTGCTGCCACCTTGCTCCCCCTGTGACAAATGATGGAATCGGTTCTCGGTGTGGTCGGTACTCTGCAAACACAGAACAAAAAGGTAATTTCTGCCTCCAACACCAAGTATCCACCTAAGAATAAGATACAATCCAGTAGGATGCAGACATCTAAATGTTCATCTTTCCTGGCACACCAAGTTCTGCTGGGAGTGTTTTTAGCAAGAACGGGCACCTGGTGAGGCCTTTTTCCATGCCGCGAGGAGGCGCTGTCCTAAGAACATGAGCTCGGCCAGCCGCAGTAGGCAGCAGATGCTTTGTGGGAGTTAGCACAGTGAAGCCCTTGCACTTTTCTGTCACCACCAGCACCTGTTACCCTTTCTTCTCCAGCTCAGTGCTGGAATGAGCCAGTGGAAAAAGAGAGAGATCAGAGACAAGGTCTGCCCAAAACATAGCTGCTTCCTTGCAAGTTTGCCCACATAAAGTGTCTGTGTTGAGTAGGACCAAGGTGGGGGAGGACTTAGTGGGCAGAAGTGTTTGTGGAGAAGTGCTACTGAAGTGCTACAGAAGGTCAGCATTTTAATGGCCAGAAGGCAAGTTTGGGGGCTTTTGGTTTTAGTCCAAGTCCAGTTCATGGTGTGAGTCTGAGTGAACATCCTACCCCCCTCTGCCCTCCCTGTCATTCAGCTACCCGTATAAGGTAAGGGTACTGTTAACGGGATGGTATGGGGTTTAACTGATACACGTGCAGTACTTAGAAACCACTGCATGATCCTGTTCTCAAGGTGCAAAATACTTGCTCCAACCTTGCAAATACATTCTTCACATTTTTCACAAGATTTTTGGGAACTAGAGATTCTTCCACTTCCAGACACCTCTTGTTTCACTGCAGGTAGACAAAAAGACTAAAACTAGCTCCATAATTTTCAAGAAACTTTTCTAGTCTAAGGGAACAGTCTGAAGACCATGAGGTTGAGGGGGATGAAGAGTTCTTCAGTTTCCTTTCTGAAAGACAACTTAATTTAGCCAAACTTCTCATATGCATTAAGCCAACAGACTTTCAGTGGTTTCCCAGGTTACAGTTCATTAGTGTCTGTATCACAGAGAACCAAGAAGCACACTAAAATAAGGACACTGCAGATTTCATTGTTGCATAGTGATAACAGAGAACTCGCCTCTCATGCAGATGATTAGACAGGCTGTGGTACTTCAAGTATTTTTAACTTGTGATCTGATGACAGGATTAGAAATAGGGGAGCTGGCATAAAGCATCACACGTAAATCCACAGTTCAGAGCATAAGGTGGTGATCTTCCAAGTTTATGGCATCTAACAGCAACTGTAACATAGATGATACCCGTGGGTGGGGAGGATTAGTTTGCTGAACACTCTGCTGGACTTCTCTTTCTAGAACCTGCATGCTGGCAGGTTTTCTGACTACAGGAGGGATGCCTTGAGGCCTGGGGGCTGCTCAGAAACAGGCACGGGGAGCTAAGACATCCAAGTGTGTGGTCACAGAAAATAAACACTCTTAGCACTCCCTCACCCCAGTCCAAGGAAGTATCTCTTTCAGTGACATGACACACAATGTGCCATTTAATGGTCATGGAGAGACTAGGGAGATTTTTTGCATTTTTGTGCATTCAGAGGAAAGGTTCTTCTTGTGGGAAGATCACAGCGTCCACACAGAGCTTCAGCAGCTCCAGTGGTCAACTTGTAGACACAGTGATGCAGGCACACAGAACATCTTTTAAGGACCAGCACCGTAAATTATGAGTCTAGGAGCTGCGACAGCTCACCTGCTAGAATCTGTGCTGTCATACCAACTAGTGCTGATTCCTTGGTTCCTGTACTTCCCTCCCTGGGTGTATCTCACCAGATGTCTTGTACTAACTCCTAGGGGCATGCAGTTCTGATGGTCAGTGTTTAATACTGCCTAACACCATGGGCTCCAGCACAGTATTACCACAGAGCAATAGCAGTAACAGAAAGAAGCAGGAGTGGGCAGTGCACTTTTGGTACTTGATACTGTTTCAAAAGAACTGCATAACAATATGCACTATACAGAGTCTGGCATTAATAACTACACTTCATAGCAATTTAAAGCTACTGAAGGAAAAGATGAAAAACTCTTCAATACCTTTTCCAACTGTTCTGTGAAGGAGAAGAAGGGATCTTGGTAGAAACTATCCAGGAGTATATTCCTTCCCCAGCTACTTTTCTGGATTTGCTGATGGATTGCACAGCTCACTGGAAAGGTTATTGGTACATTCAGACATCATTTTCATAAGCCCATTATTACCAGAATCTGTGGGCTACTTAATGCTTGCATGAGAAGCTAATGAAGGACAAAGATTCTTTACTGCTGATGGTTTCAGTGAAGCAACTGTCTGAAACATAAGAAAAAGCTATTGTCAGTAGCAAATTACCATTACAGAGAGCCACATGAATATATAACTCTCACAAAAGGTGACATGCTCTTTATTTTGTGGCTCTTGTTCTGATAGTGGCCTTATGATCCATGTGCAGTATCTCCCTGATGGAGATACTCCAATCAGGGAGATGGATATCAGGAGTATCCTGATGGATACTCCCATCAGTCTTCTTGGTGGTCATCTGTACAGTCCAATGTCTCATCATTTTGCAGTTCTGGTGGAGTCCTGTTAACCTGCCACCTGAGACCTGTTCTTCTTTCTAAAAACTCCTGTTCTCAGTCCTATTTACTTGTGTCACAACTCATATGATCCCTGAGCCAAGCACCCAGATGTAACGCCAGCATTTTAAGCAACGTTAATGTCCTGGGTTCAGCAGTAGCAGTCATTTTTCTCCTTCTTAGTAGCTGGTGCAGTGCTGTGGTTTTGGCTTTCAGCCTGGGAACAGCGCTGATAACATCAATGGTTTTAGTTGCTGCTCAGTAATGTTTAGTCTGACCAAGGACTTTCTGAGTCTCATGCTCTGCCAGGGAGGAGGGGAAGCCAGGAGGAAGCAGAGACAGGACACCTGACCCAAACTAGCCAAAGCACATCATGCCCAGGATGTAAAGTGGGGGCAGTTACCTGAAAGGGGTAGATCACTGCTCAGGTCAGGCTGGGTATTGGCAGGCGGGTGGTGAGTGATTGTATTCTCTTCCCTTGTTATTTCCCTTATCATTATTATTATTGCTGGCAGCAGCAGTGGTTTGTGTTATACCTTAGTTACTGAACTGTTCTTATCTCAACCCATGGGAGTTACATTCTTTCGATTCTCCTCCCCATCCCTCTGGGAGTAGGGGGGGAGGAAAGGGGGGAGTGAGCAAACGACTGCGTGGTTTCTGAGTGACAGGCTGGACTTAAACCATGACAGTTAATGTCACTGTGTGTCATTGAGCAAACAAATGTCATGTACCCTTCACCTATGCAAGGTACTTCTCTTGTTAACTTGAACTTTCATTTGGGTTGTAGCTTTATCTCTCTTATGGATAAGAGCCAAAGATCTTGGACAGTGACTTGGAGGTACTTTAACTCCTATATGGTAAATCAGATTGGGATGGGAGTGTGAATTAGAGCACAAATCCTGATTGAATTCAGGAAAATTAAGAGTAACAGGATAAAGAAGTACAGGGCTGGTTAACAGCATTGACATCATTTTCAGATGGGGTTGTGTTTGCTACTCAGCTTAGAAGAAATGTGACATACAAGCTAGATGTCACCAAAAACTACTACACTTTCAGTTTCTTTTGTCCTCTCTTGCACATTGAAGAAAATATTATATAAAACAGTCTTGCTTTTCATTCCAAGAAAAAAAAAATTGTAATTTCTGCTGAGTTCTACTTGGCTGTTGATGAAATGACTTTCCATATGGGTCAGGATTATTTGGCTGGGTGGATATGAGCTATTCCTTATCCCATCAGGCTGTGATTCTTCTGAGATTGCTATAACTGCCATTAAAGTCATAGAATCGTAGAATAGTTAGGGATGGAAAGGACCTTAAGATCATCTAGTTCCAACCCCCCTGCCATGGGCAGGGACATCTCACACTAAACCATCTCACCCAAGGCTCTGTTCAACCTGGCCTTGAACACTGCCAGGGATGGAGCATTCACAACCGCCCTGGGCAACCCATTCCAGTGCCTCACCACCCTAACAGGAAAGAGTTTCTTCCTTATATCCAATCTGAACTTCCCCTGTTTAAGTTTTAACCCATTGCCCCTTGTCCTATCACTACAGTCCCTAACGAAGAGTCCCTCCCCAGCATCCCTATAGGCCCCCTTCAGATACTGGAAGGCTGCTATGAGGTCTCCACGCAGCCTTCTCTTCTCCAGGCTGAACAGACCCAACTTTCTCAGCCTATCTTCATATGGGAGGTGCTCCAGTCCCCCATCATCCTCGTGGCCCTCCTCTGGACTTGTTCCAACAGATCCATGTCCTTTTTATGTTGAGGACACCAGAACTGCACACAATACTCCAGGTGAGGTCTCACAAGAGCAGAGTAGAGGGGCAGGATCACCTCCTTCGACCTGCTGGTCATGCTCCTTTTGATGCAGCCCAGGATACGGTTGGCTTTCTGGTCTGCAAGCGCACACTGCTGGCTCATGTTCATTTTCTCATCATCCAACAACCCGGAGTCCTTCTCCACAGGGCTGCTCTGAATCTCTTCTCTGCCCAACCTGTAGCTGTGCCTGGGATTGCTCTGACCCAGGTGTAGGACCTTGCACTTGTCATGGTTAAACTTCATCAGATTGGCATCAGCCCACCTCACAAGCGTGTTGAGGTCCCTCTGGATGGCATTCCTTCCCTCCAGCGATCAACCGAACCACACAGCTTGGTGTCATTGGCAAACTTGCTGAGTGTGCACTCAATCCCACTGTCCATGACATTGATAAAGATGTTAAACAAGACCGGTCCCAACACCGATCCCTGAGGGACACCACTCGTTACAGGTCTCCAGCCGGACATCGAGCCATTGACCACAACTCTTTGTGTGCGGCCATCCAGCCAGTTCTTTATCCACCGAG